GTTGTAATACTAATACTACTACAGGTGAGTATCTACATGCTATCCTGTATGCTATCGTGGGAGTAATAGACTATATATATTGTGTGCATCACGCAAATTTGTAGATATTTGTGGCTTATTCATTTTACATCTCTGGATGTTTTTTTATTGAGATCTTTACATCTCTTGATATTGTAACTTTGATTATTTAGCATAAAATATAGTTATGGTAATATTTTAGTACTGAAATGATGTGCCTAAAGTACACAAGTTGACAATTTGAAAAGTGTTTAAAGAAGTTACGTTTTAAACGCTGTGTAATAGCTGTAGCATTACATATACGGGTGTAGTGTGTATCATAGTTAAATATGGTATCATTTGTAAACAAAAAAGCTGTGTTTGCAATATACAATGTTGCGCCACATAAATATCTAGCATTGTTTTTTGTTTATTTATAGAAAACATCAAATTGTGTGAAACTTCCTGGAAAATATTTTCGACTGGTGATGTGCTTANTCATGTCCCAAACGGCGCCCCATACTCACACACACACGCGCTCACGCACACACGATAAAAAAAAATCGTGAGCCCCTTAGGTCTTTGCCCCCCCCCCCAATCCAAAACTGCTTCCGGCGCGCCTGGGAGTAGGCGTAGGCATCTATGGCGTAGGCGACCCCCTATACTAGACTCGTTAGTGGAGTAGGCGAGGTACGGTCCGGCATATTAGATAGTACCAGGGTACGTTCCGGTATACCGGACCGTACCCAGGGTACGTTCCGGTAGTACCCTGGGGGACATAGAGCCTCTCAGCCAGACGCTACCTAAAACCTTGGAGCAATCATTCTGACATCATGATGTATACATACAAGCCAAAACATAATATATATAATGGCATTGTATACTCTCATACAATAAGGGGTTAATAATGACAATTGTTTGTCATTATTAAGTTATAACCCCTGATACAAGGTTCTTACTTCTTAGTGACCAATACAATGTCAATGTTTACAGCCGGTACTATATTTTACGCCGGAAAATGATTGGTCCACGTGTGGGCAACCCCGGTATCACTGCGCCAGACATTGCGTGTGTCGTTTTAATAGCTTTCTCATAATAAAGTACATTCGCGCCTGCAAAAATTGTTTTGCACTTTCTGGTGTAGTTCACTTTCTAATAGAATTAGATTTGATGATAACATACGGTAACATACCATTAATGCGTTAGTGTTACGTTTTCTCTCGGAGGTTGTGCAAGGCGGTAGTCGGTGCATGTTCCCACGTGATCGGTTGTCGTTTTGACACATGTTCGCTACCGTGAGGCGGACGTGTGGTACATGTTTACGTGATTTTGTAAGTACATGATATTTTAGAATTGTTGGTGAAGATATGGCTATGGAAGCTTTCGATATGGATCTCTTGCACCCAGAAATAGGCGATATCACTGGCCTGGATGATCTGCTGAGTTTTAAATCTGTAAGTAACCTAATTTACGTACGCCGGTATACCGGCTGTCGCGTTATGTAAGTTAGTATAGTATTAGTACTATTAGTATTACTATTACTACTATTACTAAGTATTAGTATTGGAACTGTAATTGAGAGGTACGGTAGTATTTGTGAATGTGCGTTCATATTATTTTCAGTTTTTACTAACTCTGTCCGAAGTGCCTGTGATAGTAGGCCTAATAGTATAACAAGTTGTAATTGCGTATCTCTCTAAGCCACAGTCACTTGGAGCGTTTCAATAAAATATAATGCTAAATAAATACGAAATCTGTTTACTACCAAAGTCTTAATGTTTCTCTACTCTCTTTCACCTATTATGGTACCTAGTACTACCTACACTGACAAGCCTACCTCTACGTTTATGAAAGCTTTCCTGTTTGTTATTTAGGATGTCTTTGGATGGTACTGAGGGTGGCAAGGTGATTGTGAAGACAAAGTTTCTACAAGTTGATATTTGATGGGCAGGTATATACTGTTTAATATGTGTAATTTACTTACCAATTTGCTGTGTATAGCAAGTACAGTTCAAGTCTGTTTATAGTGTTTTGTACAACGTATACTGTATAATCAATGTAGTCACCAACCAATTCTTTTATATATAGTGATCACTTTATACGATTTTACATACATAAGGTGTATCAACTGAAGTGCAATTGTGATTTCCCCGAGTGTTACTTGTATACGTGTTTGGCTGTATATCAGTATCGATATTTTTTGAATTTCATATATATACATGTAAATACATAAAACATACATTTTTGTAACATTTTTAGTGTATTACTCTGGGAAATGAATATTTATAGCTGTTATGCAGAAAATAAAATGGTTTCTAATTTTAATGAAATTTCATCGGAATTCCTTTGCACTCAGTGCCTTTTTATCGTTATTTGTTTGTGATAGTAATTGGTACACATTCAAACTAATTGTGATATCATCTCCATAACATGGTCACCTGTCTATAAAGGCCATTTTTAGTGTTTCCAGTGAATGGCCGTGATAGCCAAGTTTGACTGTATATTATAGTTGCAATCATCACCACTATATATATGAACCATCACCATGTCAGATTACAATCTATAAACGAACCATACAGAGATTCTAAGTGTGGGTTATTTAATCTTGTATGACCATAATTATAGATTTAGAATATAGACTGTCGAGCGACGAGCACTGGGTGTTTTTTCTGTTCTAAATCGATGATATGACATGGTTAGATATACAGCTTGTAAAACAGCATGTAGCACGTCTGTCAATCCAACAAGTCTACCAACAATGTAACGGCCCACCTTCCTTGAAATGGCATCAAGTACGTAGTATTAATTTGTATTTGACATGTTAGTGCATGCATGGCAAGTCAGAAAGGTAAAAACTGGACATTAATAAATTAGTCTGAAATGTACAACTTCCTAACTGATTTTCTGGCTATTCACACCTTCGCCTTCGCACCTGTGCAATTATTGTGCAACTCTAAGCAGCTTTACCTACGCTTTATTACTTGTCGCGTATGAAAGTTATGGGAAACAGTGTTTGAGCAAGGCTGCAATTGTATTTTGACCAATTCATTTATTGCCATTAATCTTATTACCACAGACTAAAATATTCTTACTCTATGGTAATAGTATATGATTCAATGATGGCATATCTAGTTGGCATAGATACCATATGCTATACCCCAACAGAGTAGGGTACGTGGTTCATATATGGATAGAAGCGCTGACCACAATGCATTTTCGCAAATGTGCGACATGTGCAAATGTGGACAGCTCTGCCCTGCTACTTTTCTCAATAGCACTCTGGTGCGGCAGTGGTGCCGATTCAATAATAAAAATATGTTAAAAAGCACAAATTGTATTTACTACCAGTACCAGTACCAGTCTTAGTATGTCAGTATATAATTTCAGCTAATAGTATTAGTAATAGTAGTAACAATACTAACATGTGCCAGTAGTGAGTAGTCCAATAATGCCAAGACATAACTGGCAGACATAACCGTATATATAACAGCCTATATGGCTCATAGGGTCTATGTCCCCCACTCCCAGGGTACTGCCGGAACGTACCCTGGGTACAGTCCGGTATACCGGAACGTACCCTGGTTATTCATGACCTGGAGTCATCGCACGAAAACGAACAACGCATCGTGCGTGTACGTGCGTGCGTGCACGTGCGTGTACCCGCGTGTACGTGCGTGTATCTGCGTGTACCCGCGTGTACGTGCGTGTACCCGCGTGCACGTGCGTGTACCCGCGTGCGCGTACGTGCGTGTATCTGCGTGTACCCGCGTGTACGTGCGTGTACCCGCGTGCACGTGCGTGTACCCGCGTGTACGTGCGTGTATCTGCGTGTACCCGCGTGTACGTGCGTGTATCTGCGTGTACCCGCGTGCACGTGCGTGTACCCGCGTGCACGTGCGTGTACCCGCGTGTACGTGCGTGTACCAGCGTGTACCCGCGTGCA